GGTTTCACCGATCAACAGAGCAGCAGCGCAATCGGTTGTCTCGGTCTTCGGCTGTGGTGGTCGCACCTCCACCGGAAACGACCACAGCAACTTTGTTCCCGGTTCGCCCATCGGCTTTCGGTATCTCCGGACATGGCAGACGTTGTTGGGGTCTTAGCTGGTCGGAGCATCAAGCTAGTCGGGGGGGGGGGGGGGGGGGGGGGGAAGGATAGTGGCAGCCGGTTGAAGATGAGAGGGAGGTATAAGGGTGGCGGTTGCTATAGAGATTAGGGTTAGGGTTAGGCGGGTGAAGAAATATATACCCGGTTCTACAATATTTTTCCCATAATAACACAAATGGTCCCTCCTTGTATTATCTCTTTCAGAATAAATCCCCAATTTACCATTTACACCCCTCCTTTTGGAAATACTTACAACTTAAATCCTACATCTTTCCAATCAGCCCCTACTTCTGAAATGCCTTTCAAAATAAGACCAGGATTTACACTTTAACCCTCGGCAATCAAAATTATATCATTTGGCTCCCCGGAACCAATACCCCACTATTTATTATTTGATTTTGGGCTATAATAATATAAAGTAATAATAAAATTACTTCTCAGGGTTCCTGATTTATTATTTAATTATTCTACTTGAAACGGGATGTTACAAAAGTTTTAGAAAAGTTCAACATGTAAGATGTTAAGTCCATAAGTACACCTTTGGGTAGTCAATTGAGACTCTCAAAGAAACAATCCCCAAAGATAAAAGAATACAAGGAACATATGGATAAATTTCCATATGCATCTGCAATTGGTAGCTTGATGTATGTTATGGTATGTACCAGACCAGATATTACTCATACAGTAGTATTTGTATGTAGGTTCATGTCAAATCCAAGAAGAGAGCATTGAGATGGAGTAAAGTGGTTGTTGCGCTACTTGAAAGGAACATATGAGGTTACCCTATTTTTTCAGAATAAAATGGGTGGTCTTAGAAGGGTTCGCTTATGCAGATTTGGGTGGGTGTGTGGATTCGGGTAAAAACACAACAGGTTATGTGTTCACGATTGGAGGTACAACAATCAGTTAAATGTGCAGGTTACAAAAGAGTGTTACTCTCTCAACTACAAAAGCATAGTATATGGCTATTACAGAAGCAACCAAAGAGCTTATATGGTTGAAGAACTTCCTAACAAAAGTTGAAATGCAACAGGAGGACTATGTATTGCATTGTGACAACCAGAGTGCAGTTTACTCGACAAAAGAATATGGTGTTTCACAATATAACGGAACACATTCAAATGAGGTATCATTTTATTCGAGAGTTAATTAATGATGGAACTCTGAATCTGAAGAAAATCCTTGGAACGAATCATCTAAGAGATATGTTCACCAAGTTGGTTACCACTGAGAAGTTGAAGCTTTGTATGGCTTTAACTGGCACTTCACAAGTTTAAGTAAAGGCATAATAGAGAGAGGGGGAGAGAGAGAGGGGGGGGGGTTGTTCAAGCCTTGAAGTGAGAGATTGTTAGGTATGAAGCCTTGGAGTTAAATGTCAAAGAAAATGGAGCATATGCATTTATCATGTGGGGCATTAATTACTTGTTGGTGGGTGGCTTTAAAGTCTTACACAAGACTTCAAGTGCACTTTTACTACTTCTTTGTCAAAGGCTACATGCCTACATGGTAGGTAACTGTGAATTAAGACTTTTTCCTCCCAATTGATTTCTATGGTACGCTGAAAATGTGTAAGTATATATATATATATATATATATATATATATATATATATATATATATATATATATATATGAGGTGCAGCCAAACACAATAGAGTAACAAACCAGATAAAAAATATAGAGTAATGTAGCTTCTTTTGTGTAGAGTTTTTTGTTTGGCAGCCAAAAATACAAGTGATACCTTCCAGTAAGTGATGATATTACAAGTGTAGTTTAGCCTTGTAAAAATTGTAATTTTCTTGGTGATAATGAAATACTCTATTTCATTCGCCCATGGATTTAGGTTAGATTACACCGAACCACTTTAAATATTGTGTTTAGTTTTTCGTTTGCAGTTTTCAGTAGTTTTATTCCGCGTGGATAACAAAATCATTTATCAATTTGTCTGAGTTGCTTAACTTGTTTTGTTGCGTTCTCAACATCTAATTGCAACATCCCATGGAGTAAACTAAAATGTGATAGCAAAAAGTTTACAAGCACTGTGATCGAAGGGATAATGTCAATGGTTATGAACGTTACTACAACTATATATAATCTACCGTCAATCACTTTAGTCAGAGCAAGAAATTACTATTAAACCGACAAGGGTAAATATTTAATTGTATAATCACGTCGATACACATGTACGAAATGGAAGCTAGAAGTTGGTCTTCTTTTCCAAGATGATTTTTTATCAAGTGATTTTAGTTTCAAATTAATTAGAACATCTTTTTTGGTTTTAACCCTCAATAGCAATTATATTTTGTTTTACTGATTATCGTTTTGCCATTAAAAAATACTTGTTTTTCTTAACTTTGAATATTATAAAATAAACTAGAAACATGTTGGAGTTTATAGAATGGACCAAAAAAAACACAGTAATAATAAAGGAAAGGTCGATGACATAAACAATAACAAAATCCTTAGTATTTATTATATTTATGATGTGGATAAGGAATACGGGGGAGGGGATTTTGAGATGACTAAGAGCAGTGCAGGTTAGATAGATGCCACTTGATGAAAGTGACTCTTGATGTTCGATCCACTGTCCATACGGGTGATCGACCATAACTTCACCTTAACTTTTAGAAAGACAACTTTACATACTATTGACCAAATTCTTGTGCATATTTTTGTTCATTTTCCATTTTTATAAACAACAATACGAATTACAAACTTATATATTGTGATAATATTTTTAAATAAAACGGTCTATAATTTTGAAATATTTTTATGTCTTTTGTTTAAGGGAACTTTTAAAAAAAGTCATAATATTTTATTCCAATTTATGAAAAAATCTCAAACTAACTTTATTTACAGAAAAGCACAGAATACCGACTAAAACTTCGAAAAAATCATTTTCGGTCGATTTCGCAGATTTAGCCGGTATTTTATCATTTTTCGTTAGTTTGGTCAAAATTTTGGACTATTCTGAAAATTACCCGATAACCAAAATATTGAGATTTTTCTGAAAATTGTCATGGAATTAATGGATATTATTATTAACAAATTATTTATAAGCATAATAAATATTTTTATTATAAACAAAGGATATACATTTGTTGCTAATTTCTAGGAATAAACTGGTAGACTAAGTACTCCTCTATTGTTTGCTGACCACTTCAAACTCTCTACGTTCCTTATATGCATCGTTGTGAGTATGATGGTGAGATGTACTCATTGAGTGTTCCTCTAATGTTGTTAAACCTAACTACCACCCAACATACATACCTCACATGGTATCAAACATCGGCTAACATACATCTATCGAATTTGAAAAAGTGAACCGTGAATGACAGTTTATATAGAAACAAATGAATGGTGATTATCTATTTACATTGTCATTCAAAGTTTACTTTTCACTCTTAATAGATGTGTGTAATTCGATGGTAGTTACCAGGTAATGTATGGAGGTTAGATGGTAGTTAGGTTAAAGAACATAATATATATATATATATATATATATATATATATATATATATATATATATATATGTGTGTGTGTGTGTGTGTGTGTGTTTAAGAATCATTGTGTAATGATATTTTGTAATAACATTCGATCCTATAACGCCACACCTAATAGCAAGTAGACACTTATTGATTGTGTATTAATAAATATTAATAATTCTTGTATTTAATTAGAGAAACGTACATAACACATCTCACTATGACACCTACAACGATACATATGAAGAACATAGGGAGTTTGAAGCGGTCAGCAAACAGACGGATACCTAGTCCACCATTTTATTTCTGGAAATTAGCAACAAATATACTTTCTTTGTTTTTAATAAAAAATATTTGTTATATTTATAAAGATTTGTTAATAATAATATTCATTACTTTCATAGTAGTTTTCAGAAAAATCTCAATATTTTGGTTATCGGATAATTTTTAGAAAAATATTCAGTACATAACACATCTCACTGTGAGCTGGTATTTTGTGTTTTTCTGAATTGGACTAAAATGTTAACTCTTTCAAATATATTTTTTTATGCATTATTTGTAACTAGAAAATGCCCAGTCGCGCCTTGGCGCGTCTTATATTTGTAACATGAAGTTAAGTTAAGCGTATTGTTATTATTTTCTATTAAGCGATTGTCTTTTATATATATATATATATATATATATATATATATATATATATCTATATATATATATATATATATATATGGTTGGGTCTTATATTTTTGGTGGGTAAGTTTTACATATTTTTTATTGGCTGTATAGTAAGATTGTAAAGTCTTTAAGCTTATATTTTTAATTGTATTCTAAAATGTGTGTAACCTTATTTATTATTTATTAAATATAACTCTATAAGAAGTTGCTATGCAATTAGTTTTTAGTGTTGGTCTTGGTTTCCACATTGTAGCGTTCATAACAGGTAATTATTTTCGAGTAAGATTGTAAAGTCTTTAAGCTTATATATTTAATTGTATTCTAAAATGTGTGTAACCTTATTTATTATTTATTAAATATAACTCTACAAGAAGTTGCTATGCAATTACTTTTTAGTGTTGGTCTTGGTTTCCACATTGTAGCGTTCATAACAGGTAATTTTTTCGACTTGTAGATATTGACATTGTTTTTAGAAAGGAATAGTAGCTATTTACAAGAGTTGTGACTGTATAGGTAAACATTACAGACACAAAAGTTAGGGTAGTTATTGATAGACTACAACCACAAAGTAGAAAAAAACTGATAGTGTAGTGGTGCAAAAGTTGAAGTAGTTCTTAATAGACTACAACCACAAAGTTAGGCAAAAGCTGATAGTGTTGCAGTGAGATACAGACACAGTATTCTTATTCTGGATGGCGCTGACGTTTTGCTTCTGCAGTCGGTACCTCTGTACCTGTAGTTAAGTGTGCAAGATAAGGAAATTTGTTTTAAAAGAGCTGTTGTTTTCATATGTTTGGATAGTGTATGATGGATCTAACCTGCTTCTTCAAACGTGAAGGTCTTTCTAACTTTCACAGGCTGTTGTTGGGAAGATGATGTAGTTGGTTTGTTGGTTATGTCGAAAGTGGTTGGAGTATGCGGATGTGGGGTTGTTATTGTTGGTGATTGTTCGGTCGTGTTGTCTTCGATTTCGGTTAATATAAAGCAGATGTTGCTATTGTTTAAGGTTTTTGTCATACGCAGTGTCATCTTTTTCATCACACCTTTGGTATCGTTTATTATGGGGGGCAAGTTTTTCCTGTGGTCGGGGTCGTCTTCTTCTATGAGCATATCTGATGTTGTACCGAATAATTTTTTAGCAGCATTGTCAGATAACGTGACAGCCATTGAGTCAGTCTGATCATTAATTGTTGCTACCAGCTTGTACCTGTGTATATTAGCAATATCATTATATACATATATCAATCCAGGTAAGCTTGCATAATGCGGGAATTCAGAAACTTTTTTATTAGTCTGTTGTGCATGTAGGTAGTACTGTTGTCTTATTGTTAGTTGAAGAAAATAGTCACTCACAGAGAAATTGGCGAGCTGAGTATTCCATCTGATGGGCAAAACCAGTTTTTTCCTTGCTTGAGAGTTGGTTTTTTACAATCGGGACAAATGATCTGATACCAAGTGTTTGTAAATGTATAATCGATTATAGATGCTTGTGCAGTGAAGGTCTGGTCCTGTAAAAAGATATTAATATTAGATTATGTAGTAAATAGTGAGGATGTAATATGGTTTAAACGATTGGTAAAAGAAAATTAGATAAAGTATTAATGAATTGGTAGTATACCGAAAGCTCCAAATGGTTTTTTTTATTTATCTCCAATAGTGGTGTCGGTGGTCCAAAAGAAGTTATTGAGGCTGCATTTGCTTTGTACCTGTGATTTTTGTTCCTCATTAGTAAGAAAAATATATTTCATGGTAATATGTCAGTTTTATAGTAATACCTGTCGAGAAGTGCAGTTGTCTCTCTGATATCTGGATTCATGTATATGTGAGTTGCGTTACTTGTTCCTAGCCTCAGTAAACCTATGGATGAAAAGTTTATAATTATTTCAAAAACAAATCTGCTTCGTGCAGTATTTAATGAAACGTACCAGCAACGGTTGCAATTTTGACATTTGTTACAGCAAGTATAGTAGGAACAGGTGCATTTTCAATGGCGCTTCGGTTAAATTTTGCGGGCACATCAGTGCAGTCTTTCCATAGACTTATGGCAATTTCTTGACCACTGTTGTTTAGATATCTTAAATGTATTAATCAACTTAGAGGTACATTTAAAAAGATAGAACACTTACAAATCGTTTTCTAGGATGAGAAGAAGGTAAGGTTCCTTGTTTCTTTTGGTACAGTTTACCAATCTGACAAAAACTCCTAAGAAATCTACATAGTGAAATTGAAGTTATACAGTTTAGATTTATGGTCTGTAATTGCTATATAAAAGGAACAATTGTTTGTCTGTGCAAAAAGTGTTTTAAGTTATACCTGGACATTGGTCAACATAATCTGGTATTTGATTTTTTGATATGAAGTTAAACCAACTTGTGGGAATGGTCAATGTGTTTGGGAAATATGTGATGGAAGAGGCCATCCCAACAGCAATGTATATAGGATTGTCCAGCCATTTTTGAAAGATATCTGCTTCTCCACATGCATAAGCGGCAATTGTGTAACATTTTGAAGGAATGAGAGCAGACTGTACAAATCCTTGATCCTTTCCTCTGCCGAGAATCTGGATGGCATTACCCTGTCATTAAAAAAAGTAGGAATTAGGAGTTATAATATGAAGGTAACTGATCAATTTGTGTAAAAATGACTGAAAAGTTACGTATTTGTCAACTGCCAGGAACCAAGTTTCATGAGAACGGATTTGTGGCGTCCACGTGCGCAAGATGCGCACTTGCAGGGGTGTTCCTGGAGATCCATATCCCAATTCTGAGATTTTTGTAAAGATTTCAGACATGTTTCTAGCATAGGAACAAAAAAATAGATAAATGTTACATTTTTTGATCATGTGTATAATATATTATAGTTGGCTAATTATTCTAACATTGAAAGGTATACAACATGTTATATAATTTGGTTTTGGTTTGTAAAAAATGGTTATGTATTTGACCTCATTGTTATTAACTCTGCATAAGAAATCTTTAAAAACAACATTTTTGGTTCTGTTCTGCTTGTTGTCAGTATCAGACTGTATTACAACTTTAATTGAGTCTGGGGATGTGGCACGAGACAAAGCAACATATAGTTGACCGTGTGTGAATACCGGTTCTGGCAGAAACACTCCATTTTTTTTAGTGATTGACCTTGACTTTTGTTAATTGTCATGGCATAAAAACTTTCACTGGAAATTGTTTTCTAATGAAAGTGAAGGGTATATCAGCACTTTTGTGTATGAACTTAATGCGGGGTAAGTAAAACTCGCTTTCCAGTACATGTTCCAGTAATTATGGTTCCTTCTATTATGTTTGGTAATAACTGTGAAAACCATTAACCGTGTACCATTACATAGACCTTCCCTTTGGTTAATGTTCCTTATTAACATGATGGGGGTACCAATTTTCAGTAGTAGCAGTTTGTGTGGAGGTATACTTGGAAAACTTAGCTCATTCAGGTTTGTTGGTAGATAGAAAGCATCAAACTCTGAGGATTGGCATCCATTAGATTGTATCGTATCAACACTTCTATAAGTCCTGATCTCTCCTGGACTAATTTTCAGGATTACTTCGTTTATTTTGTGGGTTGTCTCGTTTTTTGGGCACACAATCGCTCTAGCTGATAAGACAGATGCAGATGGGTCCATGAGGACCCCGTCACCATATACAAAGTTGATGAGACTTTGCAATGCGTTTGCGCCTGCTGGTATGAGAAGAGATGGAGGAATGTCAATCCATTTTGTGTTTTTTTTATCAATCAGATCTGATTCCCCTTAGTACGTACCATCTCCAACACTGAGTAACCATGATGTGAATCTAATACTGATAAATCTGAAGTGCAACAGCTACGGAGTTCATCAACCGCATGTTATGAGTTAATTTATAAATCGTTAAAACATGGCCATAGGTATGAGTTTGGTAAAGTGAGGGTAATAATTTGTGATATTGTGCTTTTCGGAGACACGGGTAATGTTTGGCGAAAATCACCCCCTAACAAAACGGATATCCCACCGAAAACTTTTGTGTCACATTCAAGAATATCTCTTAACGAACGGTCCAGACATTCAAAACACCGCTTGTCACTCATCGGAGCCTCGTCCCATATAACAATTGATGTTCGTTTTAATAAATCTGCAAGTAACGTTTTTTTTGTAATGTTACATGTAGCCTTTTGCGAAAAATCAATTGGTATGTTGAACCTAGAGTGAGCAGTTCTTCCTGATGGTAACAACAATGATGCTATACCTGAAGCAGCGACAGCAAGCGCAATCTTTCCAATAGAACGGAAGTATGCGAGTAATGTAGTCCAAAGAAACGTTTTTCCGGTTCCCCCATGTCCATAGACAAACAACAAAATCTGATTTCCATCTTGTTCTGACAACACAACTGTATTATAAATGTGAAGTTGCTCAGCATTCAGTTGTGAAAGCATATACTCGTGCTGTTTTTTTAAGGAAGCTCTGTCATAACTTGTTTCTTCCAAAAAAGGCGATTTTTTAATAATGCGACAGTTTCCTCTGTAGGTTTAGGCAAATGAAAATCAGTAACCGACTTTGACGGTGTGGATGATCTAAGTATCCCTTCCAACTCGAATAAAACCAGTTGTTGTAACTGAACATCACTTATGTTGAATTCTGATGCAAAACTGTCTTTATTTATATTATACAGCAGGTCGTCACTCATTTTACGCCAACCAAATTCCCACAAAGACATAGGGTTGCTGACCTCACAAAATAGAAGCAACTGACAGAATAGGGATCACAACTGAGATGAAGTTGCCCACTCAGATGCCTGTATAAATGCAGTCATCCATTCCTTATCTTCCCCTATGAGGCCTAATGCATCACAAGCACTCCGAAAGTCAGGATATAACTTATTAGAAACAGTACGGACATCCTCGTAACATTTGCAACCTTTCTGATAACAAAGTAACATCCGCAAATAAAAGAGCTCCCCAGCAGATGGATGTACAATTATGAGCCTGCCTATGGCGGCAGAGGTTGACCGTTGCCTTCGTTTCCACCCTTTTGCCTCTTTGTCCCACCAAAATTTCGTAGGATAGGTAGTATAAGTAAGATCTGATCCTAATATGTCCCACCTGTTATTGTCAAACCATCCCAAAAGTAAACTTTGACCAAATGCTGGATGTCGTACAACATCACGAATGTGAGTGCTCTCGTTGAAATATACTGTCTGCATATTCGGTAAGTGGACAGGTAGTATTATAACAGGTGGATCTCGTTCATGAATTGGAAAATCGAGGATACGCCAAGCAGCTTCATGAGGACAAACATAGCGACCGTCAACGTAAGATCGGATTTCATCGACAATAACATCTCGCGAAGACGTGCTGCCCTCACCTTCACATACATTCTTCCGAACGAAAAACTTGACCCGTTCCATTCCTTTAGAAACATACTTGAATAAGTATTTAATCATCATATTCCAACCGCAATATCAACGTTAATATGTGCGTTGAAACGACTACATAAGCATCTGTTGTAAGGAACGATATATCTACTATCTATTTGAATCCCGTTCTGTAGTGTATGAGATGACATGGCACTTCTCTTGTAATGTGCATAACCTTTCTTGTCAAAGACCGTGAAATCATGAAATGCTTTTGGATAGTGCTTTTTACACTTGTCCCCATTCATGCAGGGAGCTTTAAGATTCAATAAACTACATGGACCATGTATCATACAGGATGTAATAGTTTGATACAATAATGGTTCACTCATCGGGTCTGGAATTTCAGCAGTGATGAATGCATCGACAGCAGAAGGGTCACGTATTTTATACGACTCGGTTACCCATAAAAGCGTATGACAATGCGGCAAACCCCGCTTCTGAAATTCGATTGTGTATAGGTCTGAAAAAAAAACACTGTTAGCCACCCAATAACGCATTACACACAAAAAAAAGGAAAAAAATTGAAAGGTATAATAAATAGAAACACTTACAAGCTGCAACCTCTCCAAAAGTTTTATCTTCTTTTAAGAATGTAATAAAAGCTTTCACTTTCATAACGGAACACACGGGAAATGATATCAGCTCTGCTATGTACATCAGCCTGATGATTGTGAAACACCATGTATCGTCTAATTCTGGCCAGTTACATTGCACGTAAAAGTGATTAACGTATTGTGGATTTCCATGTTCTCTACAAATGCCAGCGCGCATCTGATAATGACTATACATATACCGTGGTCCTCAAGAGAAAAGATGGTGGTAAAAGAACTCGTTTCCAACAGAACGACTTTCGGTATCACCATTAGAAAGTGCGTCATAAATCCCGCTTATGTAGGCTTGATCTAAGTTTATCTTGATTATTTTGATAGAAGTCAAGCTGCCTTGCTATACTTATGTAAGCATATCAACCAAATATTGCTGGAAATAATCTGGATGATTTAGTATAAGAGACTGAACACCAGTTCGTGCATGTATTTGATAGCTATAGTACATATTACAGTGAGATTTCTAGCATTTGAACCCGGTTTCATTCAGTAGCTTTAAACGCCGAGAGACCACCCGTCCTCACCATAAGGAAAAGAGAGTGGGTATTGTAGTGGCATGTAACTGTGGGTGAAGCTTACTAAACGCTGGCCGACCGGACTTTGAATGTATCATTATATCGTACTTATTCCCAAAAGAGTCATCACCACAAGACAATACTTCCTAGGGTCCGGGTGCAGGAGGACCATATCGTCGGTCAGGAACGTCATTGAAAGAAACACAAACCGAGTATTCATTCAATCTCTTTCAGCAGCAATTCTTTGGCTGTTAAAAGGTCCGAACGTATTCATTATGAACCGTGAGTATATCCATGAGTACTTGACACAACTTTTGGGTCTAAAGGTTGTTTTGTTGGATCTCGAAAGCAGATAGTCTATTAGAGAGTTCGTG